TGTTACGTTTACAAAATGTATTTAAATGAACAGTTTCTGCAGATTTCTATTACTCAGTTTGCCATTATCAAGGACAGGTATTTCATTAATTCCTAGCTTGAAGACTCGGTCTGATTTTGATCTTATTTAAGTCATTTTAAGCCAGCACCTGTATTGTCATGGAGATCATTGCTCCACGAGTTCCCCCTGTCCTGCCTTGCACAGCCCCTGCCAGAGCCCTGCCCTTTGTGTGTGAACTCTCAAAGCTGAGCATAAAAATTAATGTGTTTTATACATAATTCATGGCATTTAACAAACATTGTCACTTGACAGCTGAGTTGATAATAAAATTAGTTTGTTCTACCTCCCGCTGTTAAATATGAGACTTCCAGAGCTGGTTCTGGCAACATCTCTTTGAGATGATGACCACCACTGGTGCCTGCCTCTCCCTCAAAAATCTGTGCATTTAGAAATCGAAATCTTTCTAAAAATAATACAGTCTAAACTTCCTACATGTCAGCAGTAAGTGTCTAATATCTCCAGTTCTGGGATGAAAGGAGTAGGTTGCACAGACATGTGACAATTGTTCATCTCAATTTGTGGCTGTAGGGTTTCTTTTCTTTTTTATATGTCTATGTCATTTCTAGTTATTGTTGTATTTGACATGAAGYGATTTGACCTGAAGTTATGCAAGTTTCTTGGCCAAAAAGATAATATTTCCCTAAATAATTTAGGAAAAAAAAAWTWAAAAAAARAAATCAGCCACTGTAATTACAGAGCCCTGCAAAGCGTGGGACTCTGAGAGACCCGGACCCACTGTTTGTGTTCATCAGCAAGTCCAGCTACAGGATCAACTGGCATTGATGGATCACAGTGCAMCAGAGACAAACACTGCTCCAGAAAAGGTAAAACTTGGGCATTTCCATTATTGAAAAGCAGAAGTAAAATCAGGGTTAGCGCTCAAAAACCTAAGTGGGATTTATTTTATATTTCCACTAAATGGGGTTTAGGAAAAAAAAAAAATAGAGAAAGAAACTGTTGCTCACATAAGTATTTGGAGAATAAAAGTCATATTTGGGACTGAGGCAAAACTGTAGCAAAGGATGTGGTACAATGTGGTTGCAATTTGTTCTCTGAGTTTTTCTGTTGTTCTGACAGCAAAAAAAGAAACAAAGCAGAACTATGTGAGGCCTTCAGCAGAGAAAGACCTCCAACCTTATCTGTCAGGCTGGTGAATATAGTTCCTTTTTGTTCCCTGCACCAGTCTCCACACACCCCCCATTCCCAGTACCAAAGGGAAGGCTTGTGTCTCTTATTTTCTTGCATAGAGACATAAAAGTGAATTACAATCTTTCTTTGCAGCTGTCATCTACAGTGGCCTCTCAATGACTTATCTGGCRACCAAAGTAAGGCTACTCAAGCAATATATTTTACGTGACCTTTGCAAAAATGCTGAGAATTTGTCCTACAGGCAGTGCATTTTTATTAACAGGTTTTCCATGACTGTAAAGCCAGGGGTTGTATAATATCTATGAGGCTCTCCTCCTTCCATTTTGAGAAGTTAATAAAAAAATTGGCATCTGTGGGAAGAACAACCACAGTAATTGCAATCAGGGGCAGGCAGGGACAGCCCCTGCTCTGCAAGGCACCCAGCCCCTCAAAGACCTGCTARGACACAAAATGCTCTAAATCAGCCACGGTGCTTACAGCATCCTGAGGAACGAGCTGAAGTTGCTCTATGGAAACCATATTTCTGAGAGTTTGTCTGTTAAGTGCAAGTTTTAGAAAGGARGCAAGCTTGACCTTCACAGTATGCAAAACTTTGGCTCTGGTCCTAGCTCTTTTCACATGTGAATAGCTCCTGTGGGGCCTCTTCATGTGCTCAGAGTAACAAACAATTTCAGGATTTAGACCTTGATCTGAACCAAGGGTAGCAGCAATACCTTCTGATGGACAGAAATACTTTGTTCATAGCATTTTCTGCATGGACAAAGTTATTCTGACTTGGATTCTTCAGGTTTGTGWTGCAGCTGCTCTAGTTTGTAAAGGGTTCTTACCATTTTCCAGGGCTTCCCTCTAATGTCTGTTTAATAAGCCACCTATTCCTTATTATTTTTGTTGGTTTTTTTTAAAAAAAAATGAAATATTTTTTTTTTACTTAATTTGACTTGTGGCTGTGTATTTCCAATACAGTTGAGGCAGAATGCTGGATCCATTGTAGCATATCCTTAGACACCCCTCAGAAAGCAGGACAGGTCATCCCCCCCAGACATGCCACTCGCTTTCCTTTCTGGACTAGCTAATGCTATCGCAGTTGATTGCTCTTGCACAGGACAAACCATCCTGTAGGTCATTTTGTGTCCAAGCAATCCACAGAAATTCCTTCCCCAATTGCCTCTTCTTAGGTGTAAAATACAGTTGTCCATTATGGACTTTGCTATTTTAGAAATCCACTSTAACAACAGCTCAGTGAAATGGGTATTAACAGGATTGACAGCCAGTCCTCATCTGTATGCCACCACCGTGTTGTAAACCAAACACACAGAGCTGCACGCGGATTTTTATTTGTTATCCTTTGGTAGTTTATATATATATATCCCATTTTATTACAAAATGTTCAGAAATGTTGATAAATAAGTCTCACCGACTGGTAGGTGTTACTCTCAATAGCGTGGTGCACTGCAGCCAGGACACAAACTAATTTGTGGTAATGTTGTTTGTACATAACAAGGCACCTCTGCCATCTGTACGCATGTGGGACAAAAATTATGGAGTCACAACTTCACTAAATTCATGAAATTTAGCACCCAGTAGAGTAAAATACAATGGGCATTTGGTTAGAGTCAAGCGACTGAAATACGATATGGAAATATGACCTAGAAGAAAAGGCATTACATCTGTTCTGGAGTATTTCAGCATGGTTAATGGCCATGCAATTGCTCATTCCGAGTCCATATTCAAAGAATCTCATTGAATAKATGAGTTAACAGGTAAGATGGAGACAATTCATTGAATGACTGGGGATTTTCAAAAGCTGGTTTTAGAACTTGCTCATCTTCTCACTTATGTACCTTTTTTTTCAGAGAAATTCTGGCATTTAAACTATATTTAGTGATAAAAGTGAGGCATCACCTACATTTTGCCACAGTTGAAGAAGGTAAAATAAGGCTTTCACAGACATTTTCATACTATTTTTAAAGGACACATGAAAAATGTGTGCTGTTAGGGTAAGTGCAATGTCTTTTCTTAACCAGAAGAGTTTAAAACTGTCTTGTCACCCAAGTACAGGAAAAAAAAATATTCAATTATTTACTAATAATTATTGTGCTCGCTGAGAAGTGCCTACTGCAGGCATTTGGCAAAATACTGCAAATAATACAAGATACTCAAATTATTAAAATCAACACCACAAATTAACTATTAATTATACTGTATTTGCACTGAAGCTGAACTCACCAGCACAACCTCCCCTTGCCATGACTGATCCCATAACACAGAACTGAACTGATTCACATGGCCACCAGCCCCCATCTCCGGCTGCATCACCCCCACGGTGGACACCGACCCCAGCAATGCCCCTCCCGGGCGGGACATCCCGACCCGATGGACACTGGAGACCGCCCGGGGGCCACCCCAGGGCCGGTGCTGCTCCCCACCCACTCCCCCTCGGCTGCGGATCCCCGCCTGGGGCTGCGGCACGACCCCCACGCCTCCGTCCTGGAGCCCCCGCTCGCATCTCCCGCATCCCYGAGCTCCGGCCCTAAAGAGAATACGGAGAAACGTGCGGGATGCCAGCTCTGCGCTGCAGCCCCAGCACCCGGCACCCAACATCCCTGAGCCGCGGGCACTCAATATCCATGAGCCCCGGGCACCCAACATCCCCAAGCCCCGGGTACTTAATATCCCCGAGCACCCGATACCCCCGAGCCCCGGGCATCCAACACCCCCGAGCCCCATCCTCGAGCCCCGGGCACCCAATATCCCCGACCCTCGGGTACCCAATACCCCCGAGCACCCAATACCCCCGAGCCCCGAATATCCCYGAGCCCCGGGCATCCAACACCCCCGAGCCCCGGCAGCCASCCCCCGCCTCCAGGCAGCTCCGCTCAGCCCCGGGCGCTGTCCCCGCCAGCCCCGCGGAGCCTTTGCGCGGTGCCCGTTCCGCAGCGGGAGCGCGGCTCGGCCGGGGCTGCTCCGCTGCCATCCCGGGCTGCGCTGGGGGCGGTCGGAGCGGGCACCGCCGCACTGCCGGGCTTGGAAGGCGAGCGGCAAAGCTGGGGGCGGCGGCTCCTCCGCGGGCACGGGGCTCTCCCAGCCGATCCCCCATATCCCCCCTGCTCCCCCGCCGCGGCGCTTGTGCAGGCGGGGAGCCCGGGCGGACGGAGGCAGGAACGCTCCACCGGGCTGGGCTGCCCGGCCGCCCCGGGCTGCGAGCGCCGCGCCCCGCTCCGCTCCCTCTCCGRCCCCGAGTGCCGGTTCTCCCCGCTTTTCCCGGCCCCGATCGCGGACCCGCCCGCCGGGCAGAACCGCGGGGCGGGGGGCGCCGGCGGGGACTGAGGGGCCGCCCCCCGGCGAGCGGCGGAGCGGCCACGCCGCCGCTTTCGGGGGATTCTCCGAGAGGAGCGGGCAGGGCGGCTCCGGGAGGGGGAACC